AAAAAAATATATATGTACACATGACATTGTATGAATCTTTAGAAATGTGATTGATCATGTTTGCTCAAGGATCTGTTTAAGTTTATAAAATGAGTATTTGGGTATGCATTTGCTCACTGCAAAATTTTTTCAACCTGATAATATATTTAAATTTTTTCTGATTAAAATGTTGGGAAAGTATGGTAATACAAAATTACCATTTGCATATATATGTGCTAAAAATATACTTTTAGAGGAAAAATTATGAAAATATTTTACATGTTTTGCTTAGTAGTTTCTGATGGTAACTTTATCATAGTCAGAGCTGATTCCACTAATAATAAATAACGTGGGAAGAAGAATAGATCAGGAAAGAATCTCAGAAGACTAAGATGCTTAGAGAAAATTAAAACACAAAGGTTTAAATTTACGAAATATCAAAAATATAACCAGTTAAGATACATTTTTGTTTTTAAAAAGATCTTTAAATAGACTGTTATTGTATTTTATATCTTTTAATATAAAACATTTATTTAACATAAATATTAACAGCTGTAGAAAAAAAGTATAGGTCAGATTCTTTTTCCAAAATAATCTAAATGCTCTGCATTTATTAATCATTTAATTTTTATTTTCACGTAAATTATTTTATTTTGACCTCAAGATAGCCTTTACTTAAATCTGTCTTCCTCCAAGAATAATAATGCTATAAAACTTAAAAAATAAACAAAAAGAAAATAGGCATTCTGCTGGAATATTGTCATTATTTGGATTGAAATGGCTTTCCCGAGTTTGCCACCTTCATAATTATCCCCCCCCCTTTTTAAATCACATTACTTAATTATGTATAATAAAATTTGATTGGCAATCTTATGCACAAAGTGGTCTCTCAGCTACTGACTGATGTCCTAATTTAAGATTAATTGCAAATGTTTAACAACCTGAAAATTGTGCTTTGTAAGTGAACATAAATCATTAAGTTTTAAGCATTTAAGCTTTAAAATTATATTGTTAAATGAGGAAAACTGTTTCTAGAATATTTAAAATAAAATGCATCTATATTCTTTAAGAAGTAGAAAACATCTGTATTTGTGAGAGAATGTCCTTTAGTACTTAACTTTGAATCTTGCGCTGTAAGATAGTCCCATAGTTACTATTTGCAGTTTATGAAACCCATTATAAATTTCATGAATTGTGTTCAGGTATATAACTTGTATAGAAAATAAGTATTCTAAATTGTCACACTTTCTGGTATTCACAATGAGATAAGTCATATTTGTCTTTTAGATTAAAATGTAGAGACAGAAATTTATGACTTAAAAAATGATCTCTGAGAGTAAAATCTTGAAGACTTTTTTAAGTGACTGTACTTTTCAGGGCCGATAAAGTCTTAGTGCAGAAACATGCCACCAATCATCCCTCCCACTGCATTCTGGGTTCAGTCATTTGTTGCATGGGCCCCACAGAGCTCAGACACCATTCTCACAGTTATGGGGTTCATTAGGGCAGTGAACAGGATCAGAAATGTTTAAAACACAGTTCTTCTGATCAGAACAGCTTCTTCCCAGTTATGCCCACAGACAGACCTCTCTCTGATTCTTGCTTGACTTCTCAGCCACGGGCCTCCGTATCCTCTGCCCTGCTCCAGTCGTGTCACAAAGCACTTTTAGGGCTGCTGATAAATGCCCAAAAGCACTCCACTCTGACATGGGTCTCAGCCCAATGGCACTCAGCTCTAGCTTCGTGGATCAGCAAACCTAATTCCCCAATGAAGTGCATGAAGACACCCCACTCTACAAACAAGCCTCACCCAAAGGCACTCAGCTTCACTTGTTCCATGTCCCAGAAAGGCCACCACTTGGTCTCATGCTTTGGCTCTTGGTTCTACTGCTAGTGCTACCCCACTGTCCCAGCTTTCTGTCCCTGGGTTGAAGAGGTTAAATGCACAGGACTTTGGGGATCCCAAGGATGCACTCCACTCCTGGCTCTTCTATAATAGCAGTGCGACCCTCCTTCTGCTTCTGAGATGACTCATTCCATACTCAGCAGGGTGACAGCATCTACCAATCACAATTAGACTTGTTTAACAATCATTCACAACTAAATCATATAATCCATCAGCATCTTCCCCCACCTTCTCTTATCCAGACCCAACAGAAAAAAAGTGGGAATTTGGTGGAAGTTGATAGAGACTATAAAGATACATTAAGTAAATCACTACACTGCACTTATTTTTGACTTTTTAGGTTGACTTGTGCAGCAAAAAACTAGAAAGAGCAGAGCAGTTGATTGGAGGCCTTGGAGGAGAGAAAACACGATGGAGCCAAACTGCACTGGAGCTGGGGGAGTTGTACATTAACTTGACAGGTGATATCCTCATTTCTTCAGGAATTGTGGCTTACCTGGGAGCCTTCACGTCTAACTATAGACAGGTAAGGAATATTACTCCATCTCTAAGGTCTCTTTTAGACTCTCCAATCACAGCCTACGTTTAATCATGGGGTTTGGGTTTTGTTTTATTTTGCCAGTATAAGGAGGAAAATATTTTAAGATGATTTCTAGTTGCGTATTTTAGATATCTTATAAATCAGCCTGGTGGCTCAAAAAGTCTATATGAAATGATTTTTTAAAATAAAATAGGTTATCATAAAAAAAAAAAAAAATCAGGCTTTCTGGTCAGACAGAGACTGGTGAAACCCCTGAGCCACTAGCCCTGAGCCACCCTTCAGGTTTGGGAATGAACTCTCTCCATGGCTCAGTTTTCAGACAAACAATAGACGAGTCTACAGGGGGAGGTATGGACACCTTAGAATGACCAGCCATTCAGGATCAAAAGGGTACCATTTGCCCAAGGACAAAATTCAGAAGAGTTAGGAAAGAAAGAGAAATGAGAACCACAGGGAGGGGATAAGATAGATGTTTCATTGTGGGGATTGCAGCCAATGAGGTGAAACAAAATGTGTGTGAATTATTGAATGTAAAACTGATCTGCTCTTTAAACATTCACTCAATTCACAATAAATAGAAAGGTAAAAAAAAAAACCAAGCAAGATGAAGTCTTTCCAAAAAATATTAAATGGAATAGGTTTAGAAACAAAACCAGTTGAGCCTCGAAAATCACTGAGTTGGAAGCGACTCGATGGCACTTAACAACAATGATAAAGATAAAATTGGATGGATCCCAGGTAGTGCAGTGGTTAAGTGCTTGGTTGTTAACCAAGAGGTGAGCAGTTCTAATCCATCTGTTTCTCTCTCATTCTATGGGAGAAAAATACAGCAGTCTGCTTCCGTAAAGATTTACAGTCTCCCAAAATCCTTTGGGCCAGTTTTCCTCACTCCAGCAAGGTCACTCTGAGTTGTAATGAACTTGAGGTAAGGGGTAAGACTGACTTGGAACAGTGAAGGGAGTAGCTGCAGCCACCCTTCCTTAGCCCTTTCCTATTGGTTCAGAACATACCCTTGGTGTCTGCATTGGCTTGTTTATCTGTGATCTGCTCAAAGGGTAGTGTTGCTCTGGAGGATAAGCACTGAACTAAAACCCACAAAGTTGGGACACAGTGGGAGAAAGATGAGGCTTTCTGCTCATGCAGAGGTTTGCAGTCTCAGAGACCCTATACAGAGTCACTATGATTCAGAACCAATTGGATGGCACTTAGGAACAACAACAACCTGGAACCATTCTTCCCAACTCAACCTTATTCCAGTCAGTGTCATTCCAAGGGACTGCATCATGCCGACTGTACTATCACCCTGCTTCTGCCAGACTGGAAGGTGCGGTCAAACCACCACACAAATGTTTCAAGGAAACCTTGACATTCAGAACTGAGATCTTAGATTTACTGAAAATGACAATGCCACCCTCTAGTGACACACAATCCAAACTTATACATCCTGTGAACTCCCTGTACTCACCCTGATTCAAAAAGCCTCCTTTCCCACCCCGTCTATGAAGGCTTGAAGGAAATTGCATCCTTTCCTTGTTTCATTATATTAGCCTATGTCTCTGTTTCCCAAGGAGGCTCTAATGTTGCTTTCCCTTCTGATTTACCTCTAAAAGAATGTAGACTTCATTTAACATTGAATATAATTAATTTGTATTTGAGTTCATAATCAATTTACCATGCAAAGTATAGTTTTGTCTGAGGAGAATCTGATAAGCACAAATCATTTTTAAGGTGAGTTCCAACAATGGATTGTTGACTCAAGGAGTAAAATGTAATCTAGGAGTGTACAAGTATTCATTTGGCAACTTCCAACCTCATTTCTGTATTTTTCCTTTTTTTAAAAGAATCAAACCAAGGAATGGGCAGATCTGTGCAAAGGAAGAGATATACCCTGTTCAGATGATTATTCTCTTATGGGTACCTTAGGAGAAGCTGTGACAATTCGAGCTTGGAATATTGCTGGATTACCTTCTGACTCATTTTCCATTGATAATGGGATCATCATTATGTAAGGAAAAGATTTTTCTCATAAATGATCTTTGTTATAGAAGCACCAAACTTTTCAGTGAATCTTCTAACAGTTATGGTGGTAGTGGTGGTGGTGGTATGCTGTGGAGTCAATTCTAACTCATAGTGACCCTTTTAGGGTTTCCGAGGCTGTAAATCTTTATGGGAGCAGAAAGCCTCATCGTTCTTCCATGGAATCGCTGGTAGTTTCAAACTGCTGACCTTAATGTTAGCAGCCTGACTCATAACTGCTACACTACCAGACCTCTTTTAACAATTATAGCTAGTAACAATTTTCAGTATTTAAAACATTTTACTTAAGTAATTAATTAACTGAGTCCTGGTGTTGCACTGTAAGATAAGCACTAGACTGCTAACCACAAGGTCAGTGGTTCAAACCAATCAGTCGCTCCTTGGAAACCATATACAGAGTTGCTATGAATTGGAACTGACTCGACAACACTTCACAACAGCAACAACAACAACAACAATTAGTTAACTGTTAAATATTAGTAATCAATTCCTTCCCATTAATATTGGGACAGTGTAGTATTACAGAATTTTATAAACAAACAAAAGAAAAAGGTCACTTTTTCATAAGTTTTAATAAACTTTTAGAAAATAGAGCAAAACTCTGCCATAAGTAAGTGAAAACTCCATTCTCATAAATTGCAGGGTTTTATTGTCTTGGATTCAAGAAATAGGTAGCTATGGGTTGTTACTGGTAATGAGGTTGTTATTCCAAATTCTATCATTGTCCCTGGTGTGGAATCTTCTGATTAGTAGATGAATTTTCTAGAGACTGGACTGGAAATATTCTGGAGATTCCTGTAGCCTCGCCCTCTTCTCCACTTCTCACTTCCCAGAAATCAAGGACTTGCTTTGTCAAGACAATCATCAGTTGTGTTAATTCCAAGTTCATGTTATCATGGGCCTTTCATCACTGGGCAAGGCTCTCTGGGAGCTTTATATGTTAGAAATAGCTTGGGTAAACTCTCCAGTAGAGAATATTTAACTCTGACATGAATTATTTTGATTAGTTGTTGAACAGTTTCCTACTGGAAAAGCAATTGGTACTTCTTGTAGTTATCTAGTGCTGCTATAACAGAAATACCCCAACTGGATGACTTTAACAAACAGAAATTTCTTCTTTTAGAGTTAAAGAGGCTAGACATTCACATTCAGAGTACCAGCTCTGGGGAAAAGTCTTTGTCGCCTCTCAGCATCGGTAGGCCTAGCATCCCTTGGAGATCTCCATGTGTCTTGACATCAAACATTCGCTGGATCTGGGAGTTCCACAGTTCAGGGACCCAGACCCAAAAGATGCACTCCACTCCTAGTTCTTTCTTGGTGGTAGTGGGTTCCTCTTTCTCTGCTCACTTCTCTCTCTTTTTATCTTGTAAGATAAACAGTGTTGCAGCCACAATTTGGTAATATCCCATACATCAGATCAGGGTAGTGGTGGGATTAAGGATGGCATATCCCTTAGAGTGTATCCCTTGGAGTCCTGCTGTGGAGCTGTAAGTTAATGCGCTGACCTGCAAGGTCACTTTGTACTGCAAGATTGGTGGTTCAAGCTTACCAGCCACTCTTTGGAATCCCTGCACAGGGTCACTATGAGTCGGTACCGACTCAACGGCACTTAACAACAACAAAAATTCCACCCATTATTAGACTCCTAGTGTGGCAATGTAGGATAAGCACTGGTCTGCTAATCACAAGGTCAGAGGTTCAAACCCATCAGCTGCTTCTTGGAAATCATATACAGGGTTGCTATGATTCAGAACTGAATCTATGGCATGTAACAGAAACAACAATAATCCCACCCTTAGGAGTCCCTGTGTGGCACTGTAGGATAAGTACTGGACTGCTGATTGCAAGGTTGGCAGTTCAAACCTACCATTAGCTCCTCAGAAACCCTATACGGCGTTGCTACGGATCAAAAAAGACTCTGAAACTTGCTCTTTAATGCAGAGAGCTAAAGCAATAGGAAAAAATGATGCAGTAAATGATCTAAGCAGAGATTCTAAGGGCGACTTGAGAAGACAGAGTAAAGGATGAAATGTTAAAATGATTTGGAAACAGAAGATCAAAAGGAAAGAACATGCTTAGCATTTCTCAAATGTAAGAAGTGAAGAAAAGTTCAAACCTCGAGTTGCAATTTGAAGATTCTACAGACAAAATAATGATCAATGCAGGAAACATCAATAGAAGACAGAGGAATACACAGAATACAAAAAAAGAATTGGTTTGTGAACAACCATTTCAGGAGGTATAGCATATCATCAAGACCCAATGGAACTGAAGGAAGAAGTCCAAGCTGCACTGTAGACATTGGAGGAAAATAAGGTCTTTGGCAGCAGACATTTGCCCAGTGCAATATGTCATTTGCTTTCTTGACTGCTATTTGATTGTGGATTCAAGTAAAATGACATCTTTGACAATTTCAGTCTTTTTTCCATCTATCATCTGTTATTTGCCTAGTTGTGTGTGTTTTTGTTTTCTTTACATTGAGGTGCAGTCCATACTGAAGGCTGTAGTCATTAATCTTTATCAGTAAGTATTTCAAGTCCTTCTCACTTCCAACAAGCTAGGTTTTTTCATCTGTATATTCCAGGTTGTTAAGGAATCTTCCTCCAGTCGTGATGCCACATTTTTTTTTTTTTTCATATAATATAATTTCTAGAATTGTTTCCTCAGCATACAGATTGAATAAGTATGATGAAAGGATACAACTCTGCCCACCTTTAAACCATTCCCTTTCCCCTTGTTCTCTTCTAATGACTGCTTCTTAATGTGTATGCTGGTTCCTCACAAGGACAGTGATGTGTTCTGGAAAACCATTCTTCAAAATGCTCTGTATAGCTTGTTATGGTTCACATAGTCAAGTGCCATTGCAGAATCAATAAAATACAAGTAAAAGTAAATCTTTCTGGTATTCTTTGCTTTCAGCCATTATCCATCTGACATCAGCAATCTTATTTCTCCTTCCACATCCTCTTCTGAACCTGGCTTGAATTTCTGGCAGGTCCCTGTCAATGTATTGCTGCAACTATTTTGAACTCCTTGCATGTGATATTAATGATATTATTCATGATATCTGCATTTCATTGAGTCACTTTTCTTTGGAATGGGCACACATATGAATCTCTTCCAATTGGTTGGCCAGATAGCTGCCTTCCAAATTTGTTGGCATAGATGAGTGAGTACCTCCAATGCTTCATTAGTTTGTTGAAAGATTTAATTTGCATTCCATCAATTTCTGGAACCTTGGTTTTCACCAATACCTTGAGTGCACCTAGGACTTCTTCTTTCAGTTCTTTATCATATGCTACCTCTTGAAATCATTGAACTTCGACCATTTCTCTTTGGTACAATGACTCTGTATATTCCTTCTAACGTCTTTTGATGCTTTTCACACATTCAATATTTTTGCCATAAAATACTTCCATATTGGAAGTCAAGGTTTGAATTTTTTCCTTCAGTTCTTTCATCTTGAGAAATGCTGAATGGATTTTAGGTTTTCTAGCTCCAGGATTTTGCACATTTCATTATGATACTTTACTTTGCTTTCTCAAGATGCCCTTTGAAATGTTCTGTTCATCTCATTGACTTCCTCATTTCTTAAATTCACTTTAGCATCTCTATGTTGGAGAGCAAGTTTCAGAGTCTCTTCTGACATCCATTTTGGTCTTTATTTCTTTCTTTTCTGTATTTTTGATGCGACTTTTGTTTCTTCCTTCGTCTTTCTCTCTTTCCCGTATTTTTAATGAGCCTTTTGCTTCTTCCTGTATGAAGAGCTTGATGTCATCTTACAACTCTTCTGTTCTTCATTCATTATTGTCTAATGCATCAAGTCTATTCTTGAGATAGTATCTAAATTTATGTTAGAAATGTTCAAGGTCATATTTTGGCTCTTGTGAACTTGCTAATTTTCTTCAGCTTCAGCCTGAACTTGCATATGAGTAATTGATGATCTGTTCCATAGTTGGCTCTAGCCCTGTTTTGGATGATGATATTGAGTTTCTCCATCAATTCTTCCCATGGTGGTTGGTTCTGGTTCTGTGCTGTGGAGTCAGTTCCAACTCATAGTGACCCTGTATAGGGTTTCTGATGCTGTAAATCTTTACAGGAATGGAAAAGTTCATTTTTCTCCCATGGAACAACTGGTAGTTTCAAACTGCTGACCCTGAGGTTAGCAGCCTGACTAGTAGCCACTATGCTAGCAGAGTCGTTATTTGACTCCTGTGTATTCCATCTAGTGGAATCCATGTGTATAATGTTCTTTTATGTGGTTTAAAAAAGGTGTTTGCAACAAATAAATCATTGGTCTTGCAAAATTCTATCATACGATCTCTAGCATCATTTCTATCAACAAGACCATATTTTTCAGCTACTGATCCTTCCTCTTTGTTTCCAACCTTCTGGTTCCAATCACCAGTAATTACCAACACATCTTGGTTACATTTGATCCATTTCAGACTGAAGAAATTGAGAGAATTCTTCTATTTCATCATCACTGACTTTAGTGGTC